CTCAGTGTGAATGGGGCCTTAATGTTAATTTCTGAACAGTCGAAACCTCCAGTGACCCTTTTATGTGTGGCCAACTTTAGTTCCTGTGAAGATGGGATTTTTCTGTACAGAATTGTTCACTCCCTATAGACGTCTTTGGGAATTTATAAATAGCTTGAAGCGGGCCAAATTAAGGTCAGAAAGAGGTCAATTGCAGGTTGTCAATCATTTCTAAAAGATCTCAAACACGTCTTAAAGGCCTCATGCACTTGGCTGTACAAAAAAGGGGTCTGTGCTGCATCTCAGACTTTAAGGACATACATGAGGTTATGTCTGGAGAAGCCAGGAGCAAGCTCAGCGGTTTAGTGAATATAACTTTTCTTTTAGCACCTAGACGAAAACAAGCAGTTAATTCTTGCAGTGCGGGGGTAACCCCACTGCACGGGTTGATAAAATATTTGCCCAGAGTTCTTCTTTAAGTACATACAGTGGTATCGTAGTTTGGCGTGCATGTTAAACATCCAAATAATGTACTAAAAAGTGCACCATAGAATGAGCATGTCAAAAATAAGTGTTATAAATAATCTGAAATGATGTGACAGGTTCACTTAGCAAGGAAACATGCATGTGGCAAACTAAAAGGCATGTGAAGAAAAACAACTATTCTATGATGTTATGTTAAAATTACGTACGTGTGTTTACCATTGGAATCTGTATTCCACGTACCAGAGTATGGAATCTTGTATGCTAACTACTGATGGAACTTCTGGAAATGTGCACAAAGATTCACACATGCGCATTACAATACACAGACTTGTACAGTTCACAAAGACTTTCTAAAATTAGGCTTTCTAGAGTTTCCCTTGATTATAGCCAAGTAAGGACAATATGGGTTTTATTCCTATATGGTATGCAAGTGTAAAAATACACACACACACAGACCCAAAACCATAGAGAGGCAAGGCTTAGCTGGCATTCATTTGGAAACTGGAGAGTACATGGGCATTAGAATTCCATGGGCATTGATTTCTCTTATCTGAGTAAGCATAAATGCTTAGTTTTATGGTCAAATACGTTAGTATGCAAGCCCTCACAGACAGGGCCCTCCTTGCCATCTTGCCTTGACTTGTATTGTAATTATAATGTCTTCCTTATATTGTAAAGCGCTGCACAAACTGTTGGCGCTATAAAAGTCCTGTATAATAATAATAGTAAACCAGGCCTGTTGAATTCAAATAAAAAGGTTGTGAAAATATATATTATATAATTACTTCTGATCAGCTTTTAAAATATTTTGCTTAGTCCATTCCCAGGAGTTCATGGAATGTGCATTGGATAGTGTGATAAATCTTCTGATATAAAACAAAATAACTTTATGTAGGTGTATGTAAGAGTTCAGATATAACCAGTAATTGCAGACATTTTAAAATCTGATATGTATACAGACAAGTTAACAAAAGAAAACAGATGTAAGTGCGATCCATGTTTTGAAATGCTTGAGCAATTGTACATTCTAGTTGATAGATATACAGAGCATAATTTTAGTGTACGTTGTTTCACAAAAATGGCTGAAATACACCATGGATATATTCTTCACATAGCAGAAGTCTCATCACATAAACACTAAAGAAGTATGAGATGGCTTGGAAGTCCTTTTTTGGTAAACATGATTTTCCTCTACTTCTTTTGGGTGTTATCCAAGGCTTTAATGCAGCAGAAAATTCAGTGATAAGCCAATAGAGGAGGAGACAGCTGCTTTGGTCTTCTTTCACTTTGCTCTGTATAAGAAAATATGAGACAGTGTTAAAAAGAATATTGATCTTGCAATGCTATATAAATGGAGCAAGACATTATGTCTCCCATTGTTATTTTATCAAGTATTGCGCTGTACTGTATAATGAAGACATACAATGCCATTGTAATTGCTAATGGCATTTGATTCATTAATGCTTAATACTTTGTAGGTATAAAACATTTTCCATTCTAGCAGGTACTCTAAAAAAACACCTTGTGCATGTTTTTGTGGCCTTTAGGGCTTGGTCACACTAACTCACACGTTAGAATGCAGAGTTGCAGCGTGCAGGCCAATGTGCAGAGGGGAGTGTGATGCGCTGTTTCAGTGCATCACTCTGTTTATTTTCTTTTTAACTTCATTTGGAGCGTTCAAATGTACACTCCATTCAGGTCTCTGCACCGCAACACAATTGTTTTCTATTTGCCCTAGCGGTGACTGGCATTGATCAGTTGCTTAAAATTGCAAGTCACCGCTAACAATATTAGAAATTATGGATTTATTTTAAAATACATATGTGAGCTAAAATGGCCTAATGCTATATTGCCTTGTTAATGTCCAGCCTACAAAGTGCCTTCTGTTTAAAATGTGAGCTCCTATCATTTTTTTTTTGTAAATCTCGGTTTATTTGGCAAAACAACAGTCTGGTACAGTATCCAATCGTAAAGGTCTACACGCAGGCAGCCAACTGTTCATCGTAAAATACACAAGTGTACATAACATACTGAGTAACATAACCTCACACGAGACAATTTATTGCAAGGGCACAGTGGCATGGCGCTTGATCCTATACCCAACTACTGGCATCGAGCAAGCCACTGGTCAGGCAGCGTAGTGTATCGTATACGAAGCATATGAATTTACTTTTTAGATTGAGTTTCGGTCGTGTCAGGGGAGCCGTTCTGAGAGTTTAAACTAGGAGATTTATTAGCTAATGGAGCCCTCTCTGGTACAGTCAAAGTGAGGTTCATTTTGTGGAGGACATGTGGGACCCTGTACCACCGCGACAGGATCTTGTAACCCTGTTCCTGGAATCTGTTCGCTATCGAGCATTTAAGCGCAAAGTAGACCATCGTTTCCCTCTGTCTAGGGGTAAATGTCGTACCCAGGTCAGTCTCCCATCTGAGTAAGTATTGGGGGATGAAATCCGGCGGGGAGGCAATTAGTAGTATGTAATTCACTGACAGCGAATTTTCGGACCCCTTTGAAGATATGTGCACCCCCTTCCCACACATATCTTCAAAGGGAGTCCGAGGCCTGTCCACCTGTAGCCTGGCAGGGATTGCTAATAGGGGGTGCCTGAGCAGGTAAGCGGTCCCGGCATCTAGAGGAGGCTCCAGAAGGGCCTGTAAGGCGGCTGCCTCCATCCATTGACCCCCCTCTCTAAAATTTCGAATCCGGAACGTATTGAGGCCGATTAGACCACGTAAACGTCTGTTTTCCATGCCTGCTGGAAAGTCTGGATCTCCTATCACTGGGGCGAGTGGGGAGGGGAATGGGGAGATAGAAGATGAGCGGAACAGCGATCTCACAATCCTGAGTGTAGCTCCCACTGTGGGGTGTTGGGAGCAGGCTGCAGGCAGGGGCCCCGAGAGCCATGGGAGTCCCAGCAAGGGGGTCGGGGATACCCCCTGCTCCATGCGTACCCACTGCTTAAGGGTGGAGTGGCAGCACCAGTCCACGACTCTATTGAGATGCACTGCTCTATAGTATAGGCCCACGTCTGGAAGCCCAATCCCACCCGCTGATTTGGGCATGGTGAGAAGTCGCCTATTGATTCTGGGGGCCCCATGTGCCCAGACGAAGAGCAGGAACATGCGGCGGAGGCGAGAGAAAAAGGCCAGTAGCAGGCGAATGGGTAGTGCTTGCATTAGAAACAGGATCCTGGGGAGGATGGAACCGCGTCCCGTTTGAAGTGGGTTTCCTGTATGTACGCTACCTGGGCCCCAGCTATACCCTGTATAGGTAGGGGTTGAGAGTGGGACCTATGGGGTTGAAGTTGTCACAAAACAGTGGTCAAAACAACAGCAATGTAGGAGATGCATCTAATCGGCAACACAACCTAACATATGGAACTGAAACATACGAAGGAGCGCCAGCCCCCCTTAGAGTTAGCCTGAGCGGCCACGGGGGAAGAGAGCGCCACCCCAGGGGACCCCTTACGGAGGTCCTCCCACGGCAGCCCCCCCCCCCACAGGCCAGCTCGGAGTGCTCGCAGGGCCGAAAAAGTCCGCCAAGTCCGACTGTCCGGAGCTTCGGAGGTTCGCCTGGCTGCCCAGCGGTCATGACATCCAGAGAGGGGGATAATAACGTCTGCTAAAGTGTAGGCCGGTGCCGGTAGATGGACACAGGAAAACAACATAGACACCGGCACTCCAAGTAATGAATCAGTGGCTTCTGTTTATTGACGCATGAAACATAGCACGATGCATCAAACATAACGTTTCGGGGGGCTCACTTATTTTGCCTGATGAAGGGATCCTGTGAGACCCCGAGACGTTGCGCTTGATGCATCGTGCTATGTTTCATGTGTCAATAAACAGACGCCACTGATTCATTACTTGGAGTGCTGGTGTCTATGTTTTTTCCAGTAAGCGTTGTGTGTCTCCACAAACACACAGGCACAGCAAATCAAGATACTCCCCTCCCCTGGACCCTTCTTCTCCTTCCACCCTTCTACAGGCTAGTAGATGAACAGTTGCTGGAGATTGTGCTGTCTCTTGTGTTCTTGTAATGGATAGGAAGTTCAGGGGAGATGAGCTGAGAGACTTGACCCAGCTGTTTAGAAACATGATGACTATAAGTGCATGGTCACAAAAATAAAAATAAATACTTGCCTGGGAAATGTATATTTGTTTGATTTATCAAAGTTTTGGCGTTTAATACTACTTTAAGTGAGAGTTTGAAAAAAAATCTTCATTGGTATATTGCCTGCTCTCTGAATCCCACTTCCTTGAATGAGATCAATAAGGAAATTCCATTAGATTGTTTCATCTTTGAAGCTTATAATACTTTCCCAATTTAACTGGAAAAATATGTTATTCAACATTTGAATATTTGTTTAGTCAGGTTGCTCAGTAATCAAACCTGAATATCATGAATTGTTCTTTGCTACATATTAGGTGGTTGATAGTTGTAGCAGAGTTTAATGGTATAATTCTGTTATATTGTTTATTGAAAAAACAAAATGTTCCCATTTTATTTTTTCTATTATTTGTCTTTAATCCAGGAAGGGGAGAACATATTCTACCTGGCTATTGAGGACATAGACACAAATACAGAACTGCTCATTGGATACTTGGACAGTGATATGGAGGAGGCTGAAGAAGAAAACAAGGAAGTTGTTAGTGTAGTCTCCAAAGAAGAGGAAGATAGTATTAAAGAGGTCCCACTCCCTGCTGGGGAGAAAACCGAAACAGGTGAATGCCACATTCATGAGGTCCTGATTATTCACAGAGACCAGTGACATGAATCTTAGCGCTAGTGATGTAATGTTCTCTGGTTTTTTCTGATTCCATGCACCAGTAATAGCAGTGAGGAACATGTCAGTAAGCTATACAAGTCATAAGAGATCATACTTGTAGGATGTGTTTTTTCGACACCTAGACAGTTAATACTACGTTATATGCATGTGATAGAAGTCCTGGTGGACCTGCAGGTGTTATAACAATCTGGCATGCTCTTACAACTAGTTAACTAATTACAATTAAATCTCAGGCAGATATAAAGGACTCCAATGAATGCAGTCATGTTTTCCTAAAACACAAAATATTGAATGTGTTTGTAAATACAAATCGTATATGTACCTGAATTTGAATTGGCATCGTTTTCCTGTATTCCCCTGTACAGTAGCACTTACACTAGGACAGGAGAGGCAGTACCAGGAGCCAATCAAGTCTGCTATTCAAATATGTGCTGACAAGAAATATGCTGAGGGAAGGAAAGAGTGTGAGCAGAGGGACAACCTCATTTGTTTGATGCTGCTCTATAACTGCCCAGTTACAGGCTGGGGGGTGAAGTGGTGGCCTAACTGTATTGCTTAACTGCAGCAGTGGAAAAAATCAGGTCACCAACTTGGCTTTGCTATTTGCCAGGGCTGTATATAGATCTCAGGACTTCCTAGACAAAAATACAAATCCTTTCACTCCCATTTATGTATTTCACCTGTGCATTTAACTGATTGCCTGGAGTTCATCTTTAAGAACTAATTGCTAATTAAGAACTGTTCCTAATTTCTGTTAATAACTTACAGTTCTGTTGTACTTTGTTAACATCACAGAACACTGTAAACATAAAGATGACCATGACTGCCCTCTTTGTGAATCCAGTTTTCCCAGTCATGAGATTCTTGCTGAACATCTTCAAGCTTTGCATCAGAAACCTAGTGAAGAGAAGGAGTTTAAGTGCAGGAATTGTGGAAAAAAATTCCCTGTAAAACAGGCTCTTCAGAGACAGTGAGTTCTGGAAATATTTGATTTATATCTCATTATCATATGTATTTTTTCATGTTGTGTTAGGTGTGTGCATATATTATTCAGGTAGCTTTGACATGCCTATTATAACCTAGATATATTTTTGAGAGTTAAAGGCTATTGCATTTTGGCACTTTATTACCTCAACAACTATACCTCTGCATTGTGTGACCTGCACACAATCTTCTCATCCTTTTACCCTGCTGCTCCTAGTTTGAGTCCATTATGCACAATACCCCTGGACCTAAAATCAAATGAGGGTGCATGGCAGTGTAGGCACCACAAAGCCAGGCAACAAATGAAGAAGAAGCCAGCACACCGGGATAAGATGCAAGTAAAGCCTTAAAGGCTAAGTTTACCTTTCTGACCATGTTTCATGCTACACCCATATTCAGGTTGTAACATACAACATGATCAGATTGCTTCATAAGGACTTGTAGTCCATTTATTCTTCTGCCATCCATGTTATTAAATGTCCATACTGACATACAGACAGGGACAGGAGGAGAAGTCTGCAGGAGCCAGAGAATTGCATTGATGCAAAAAAAATGCAACATTTTTGGTGCCCAAATCTGAACTGCATATTCCAAATAAGGTTCCAGATTATGTAAAAGCTGAACAGATATCAGAATGCTTCTCTGATAATGGTCCAGTTTGCTATCATTTTCACTCTTTATTTTGCAGTGTACAACATCTTCAGTCTTATTCAGCAAGACAGTAAAAATGAATTGATATTGTATTTAGTGCAGCATTCTATAGTAACCAAAAAGACAATTTCTTAAGTGATCTATCTCCAGGAATGTGAAATCTGATTGGTTTCCATAGCTTTCTGTACTGTAGGGATGCACCGATACCAGTATCGGTGCCAATACCGAGTATTTGGGCGAGTACTCGTACCCGCCCAAATGCTCCAATACCTTTTCCGATACTGGAACTTCCGGTCAGAGGGAGAGTTCCTATGACCGGCAGTGCCGCGAGGAAACAAGGAGTCAGGAAGCTGGCTCCATGCTGTTTGGCCGGCTCCATGCTGATTGGCCGGGGAGCGGGCTTCCCAGCCAATCAGTGTCGAGCCGGGCAAACAAATCTGATAATATGGTGACACGTCCCCCACCCTACAGGCACCTCATTCCCCTCACGTAGATCCTTAGCAGCATTAATTAACGTTCCAGTCCCTCGGCCAGCTGGGCAGACACCGCTCTCCAAGCTCTCCAGGATCTGCCGTCTCCTGTGTGCACAGCGCCCACGTGATCTGCCCTCAGCCTGCTACTGCACATGCACAGGATTTCTGAATGAGAGCACTGGGCAGTCTGCGCATGCACAGTAGCAGGCTTAGGGCCGATCACGTGGGCGCTGTACACACAGGAGACAAGGGCAGATCCCGGAGAGCTTGGAGAGCGGTGTCTGCCCAGCTGGCTGAGGGACTAGTACGTTAATGAATGCTGCTAAGGATCTATGTGGGGGGAATGAGGTGCCTGCAGGGTGGGGGTCGTGTCACCATATTGTCAGATCTGTTTGGCCGACTTCGATGCCGATTGGCTGGGAAGCCGGATTCCCGGCCAATCAGCATCCAGCCAGCCAAACATAATGTTGTCAGCTTCCTGGGCAATCAAGACGCCTTTTTGGCTTCCTGATTGCCCGGGAAGCCGGCTCTATGCTACCGGAAGTACCGGTATCGGTACATCCCTACTGTACTGTATTCAGTATCTTACACTACTATAGGTAATCATTTTGCGTCTGTTTTATGGTTATTGGTATTTTTCTGAAATAGTGTATTCGTTTTGGGCAATGAAAACATCTAAATTCAATTTTATCTGAATATAAACATTTTTGCTTGCTTGGTGTACACTGTACACAGGTAGGGTTGCATAAGTTTAGTAACCCATAGACACCAGTTGGCAATTCACTTTGATTGTTCTGACTGCTATGTTTGATATATGTTTTGGCTTATTAGATAAACCAGAACAGTTCCCCTAGCTATAGAGGTCACCTGTATTTGTAAAGCACACAAAAGAGTGCAAGGAGATATGTAACATTTTTATGCTGGTTTGCCTATTGTAACTGATACTTTTGTATCTGTACTTTGTATAAAAACATTGCAGTGTTTTTCCATTATTACCTTTTGTAGCCATGGTACACGCATACAAGAGAAGTGCAGTAATATGCATGTCGCTACCTGCTTTGAAAATATTAACGCATCTGAATTATGTGGGTGCTTTTTGTTATAATGTATATGGTGGATGGATTCTAGCTCTACTTTTGTCTAGGTAATGCAAACAACTCTGTAGAAAGTGATTTCATGTCTTGCACTCATGCTTGGCTACGTAAGTCATCTAATGCAATATGTACTCTTAAAAATAATCTTGGATCTTAGACTTTTGTGGTTTTGGGTCAGTTAACACGTATTTTCACTGATTTTCATTCAAGTTTACGTCACCCCACATCTAAATCTTTCTGTCCCCTTTTTTATTATATTTTATTATCTGTTCTGAATTGTGGTTTCTCTTTCACTGTTCTGTTTCATTAATCCTTCAGTAAGGTTCCACTACTTTAAAGATCATGTACCTTACACCAGTAAATTGATCTTAGTGTCTTCATACATTACATCCTCCCATATGTCTGTATTGTGTTATTTTCCCTTACACCTTTCATCTGCTTTATAGTAAGGAGGATGGTATGAGGTACTTATCTGCAGGTATATATCATCACTGCTGACTAGCTTTATTTCTTACGATTGTTTCGTGAGTTTATAAAGAAAAAGGTTTATGAGATACAATTTAGTATAGTGCATTCCCATTGGGCAAAAGAACACATATGATAGTTAATAATTGGCAACACTTTTTCAATAATATCCCACAGTAGGTTGATTTGTTAGTTAATAACCTACTGAAGTTTATATGGATGCTCTCAGTGGACAGTGGGTATTTATGAAAACCTTTGTTGTCTGGGGGGCAATAATGATGCATTCCAAGCTACTAAAAAATATGAATTTTCTTAATTTATTCAATACTAGCATAGTCAGAAGTGGGGTTCACCATTTACAGTGCCCGCTGTGCAAACTAATATCCTTGTCACATTAATACACAATTACCCCAGGGACAGTTTTTATACAGCAGGAGGAATCCATTGCCGAGGAAAAAGAATATTTAAATGTTATGATGATAGCACCCATTGTGGAGATCAGGACTTCAGTGAGCCACTGCACTGTGCCCTTTGAGCACACATTTTACATATGTGTCTTTTAGATTTATTGCTTAAAATTAATGTAACACAATTCCAGATGTTTCCATTTTGTATATCGCTAACCGGGAATACAGCACCTATATTTATATGTTAGTAAATACCAGAGCGCTGGATTAGCAAAATAATTGACATGTGGCATTTCCTGGGGATGTGCAGGAAGATTATTGTTGTGTTGGATATGAGCTCTACGTACAGAATTTTGCTGCTGTGTTTGCAGACACTAAAATGTTCTCTTTTCTTCAGTGTACTTCAATGTTCAGAGAATATCATCTCCGGAGACACTTCAGGGACTTATCAGTGTTCCGTTTGCAATACCTCCTTCGGCTCAGCGTTGAGGTTTTGTGTTTGAATTACTGAACTGCTGTCTTATTTCTGGCTTCCTTTTTGCATGCCCACTTTCAAGCTTCCTAGTCTTCTTTTTTGACATCTAACCAAGAAAAAGAAGTACTTCTTTATCTCCTATATAGGTAATGCACGAGTTATCTTGTTCTCTTTCTATAAAGCATGCACAAAAAAATTGTATATTTGACCATATTATATATTTTAATATATTCTTTAATGATGTTTTCTGTTTTTCTATTTCAGTTTTGAACAGCACAAAGAGGCATGCAAAGGAGATGTGAGATTTATATGTAAGGCTGATAGCTGTGGGAAAAGGTTTAGAAGCAAAGATACACTGAAAAAGCACAAGGAAAATGTGCATATAGGTATGTTACCAATATGTATGAGACGTTTAAAAAGAACCCTGTCACCAACCTAAAAAATGCAGGTGAAAGCACGTAAATTATTTTAAATGGTTACTTGTAGTGTTTTCCTCTTCCATGAACAATTTTTTTATTAACTTGCAGTGTGCCTCTGAATTTGCTAGAAAATTTGGCTAGTTGCCTAGCACAGCCCCATCCCTCCTTGAACTTCATAGCTCTCTCCTCTTCTGGGAGCATCAAATTACATCATCGAGCGCTTCTCATTGGGTGCCAGTGTTATTCTGGATCCGCCGGACAATACACTGGCTAGCATGTGGGGGGGGG